AAGTCACATTTTAACCAGTAAATTGAGATTTGCTGTGATTTCGCAAACTGGTTTAACAACCTTATTGCAGCCCATTAGCATCACAAGCAGGTTCAGAACCTTGCAGAGGAATAAGCTCAGATCCCTTCCCAGCCATCTATAGCTGCCTAAATTTAGACTTTCCAGTGTTTTCCAGTTTCTGTCCTCCTGATGACCAATTTTCCTTAGTACAAACTGAAAACTGTATCCTACAGAGCAGAGCTTTTTCAGAGTATCTTGAAATGCTCTGGGGACTCACCAGGATTCTGGGCAAACATGCCCCCTGAAGTCAGGGAATTACATCCATCTGCACAAAAACCAGCTCCGTCTCCCTTCCTGCTCCCAAATCGCCTTGCACGACTTCAACTTTTAATAAATTCAAACTAAAAATTCTTTTTAAATGAAACCCAGTTAACCAACTCAGCAAAATTAAAAATTCAGAACAAACAGTACAGGTCCCTCTCTGCAAATATCTGTTCAATCTATATGGATTCTCAGCATTTTCTGATATTGATTTCTAGTGTTGCAGAGAGCACAGGCCATGCTCAGTTGTTGCTCTTCAGTGCTAGAGAACAAACAGCACAATCCCAGCAGCCCCAACACCTGAGCTTCTTCCTCAGCACTCATGTACCTTTTTAAACTTGTTTGATTCTGCACCTGAGCTGTGATTACAGAGAATTAGGGACACCCGGCAGGGCTTTACAGGTTGATCTCTTCATTAACTTGCTCTGGTGACAGACACAGTGAGCTCAGCCATCTTACCCGAGACTCTCATCCCCATTTCACACCCTGGTGAGAGGTTCTGTTGCTGTGCTAGGACTGCAAATGGTGCTCAAACGCTGCCAGAGGAGCAGAAAAAACAAGGCTATAACCAGCCCCACCTGAGTCTGATGTATGACCCAGCCTCTATCCTGCTCCTCTTGGCTTTTTAGAATTTTAACTTGATAACACTGAATTGGCATAAACAAAAAAAGTCATTTAACACAGGAAGAGAACGATTTCAGTCAGAGCTGAATCCAAACTGAAATGAAAAAGCATGCCTGCTCCATTCAATACTGGAAAACACCCAGAAACAGTGATTATTTAGGTTGAAGCTGATGAAACTGTCTGCGGTTTCATTCCTGTAGTCCAATTCAAACATGCTTCCTGAAATCAATTTAAGTTACTGGGGATATTGTAAGCTGAGCTGTTGACCAACATCTTCCCTGCTCATTATCAGGAAAGGAAAATGGGTAGTTTACAGGGCACAACACATGTAATTTTACATTTAAAACCTAAATTCAATCTACTGGGCTGTGGCCACATTTCCCATCCACTGATTAAAGTCACTAAAGGGACTTGTGGCATGAATAGCTCAGACTGTAAGTGTGATATAAAATAAGATACTTCCACTAAAATGAAGTTCAGCTGAGCTGGGCAGTGGTAAGGAAGGCAGAAGAGCAGCAGTGTGAACACGGTGGGAGACTTCAGGAGTGGATACCCCCCCACACACACATGTGCTGACACAACTTCTCAAGGCAGCCTGTACTGCCTCCAAAAATACGAAGGCAGATAACTTCTAAGTACTGAATTTTTGTCATCTTTTTATTTTTACCACAATAGTTTGTACAGTCTCTATCTCCAAACAAACAATTGTCCTGTAGAACTATTACTTCCTGAGAAGTGGCAACGAGCAACCAGGAAACGGGGCAGAAAATTTTCAAGACTACAATTCAAGAGATGAGAACTAAATATTCACTCTTTAGAAGTGACTCCAAGGAAGGAGCACTGCCCTAGATCCTTTTCCCTCCTTTAAGACCAACTATTTATGGCTGATGAGCGGCTGATAAACAGGCAGGGCTTGGAAAACTCAGTAGAACAGCCCGTTTACAGCTCCTGGCGAACAAAAGAGCCGGGAGCCGCTCCCGCGGCCAGCACCGCTCACCTGTCCTGCCGGCTCTCCGCAGGATAGGGCTTGTTTTCCTCAAAAACCGAGGATTCGGGCTCGTTCTGCCTCCGCCACCTCCCATCCACGCCGCGTTTCCGCGCCTGGGCCCAGCGCGGGGGGTGCTGCGGGCTGGAAAAAAAAACAAAACAACAAAACACAGAAAAACACAAAGTGAGCACAAACCAGTCGGGTCTTAGCGCGTTAGAACCTCCTCCAGCCATCGCAGGTATTTATCTACTCATTTCACTCCCACAAACCCAGCGAGGCGGCTCCACTCGCCCCCTCCGAGGGGGCTCCCCCCACACACCTCAGGGACGGAGGGAGCGAGGGCTGGGCCGCCACTCCCCAGTGACCCCATCCCAGCGGCACTACCTGCTCTTCGTGCTGCCGTGAGGGCTCCGCTGGCGGAAGGACATGGCGAGGGGTGTGCTCGTAAGAAAGAGCCGGCAGATGAGCCGGGAGCGGAGCGGGCGCTGAGGGACAGCCGGGGGGAGACGGGGGAGCGGAGCGGGCGCCGCAGGGAGACAAGGACCGGGAGAGGGGAGCGGGCGCCGCAGGGAGACAAGGACCGTGGAAGCGCCGCCGCCGCCTTCCCGCTCGGCCCCTTCACATCTCCCGCCGGCGCTGAGCGGCACCGCCCGCCCCGCCCACCCTCGGGACGCCTCCAAGAGGACAGGTGCGGGAGGGGGGGAAGGGCAAAGCGCAACCCCCGCCCCGCGCCTTTACACACTGATACACACCCCACACCCCCCCGCCGGCAGTGTGATGGTTCAGCCCGCTCCGCCCGGCCCCGCCCCCGGGGCGTGTTGGCGGGAGAATCGGTTTTTGGCGCGCGCTGGGGGCGGGACGGGACACGCGTGAAACAACAGCCCCCCCCAAAAAAAAAAAAAGAGAAACCAAACAAAAAAACCCCAGCCCAAACAAAAGGAAAAAAAACCCCACAGATTCCCGCGATTTAAATAGGAAGGATGGCCGGTCACCGGTGCGGCCCTTCAGTACCTCCTCAGGGTATTTCAAGGGACGGTTCAAACCCTACGGCCGACTGTTTAAACAGTATAAACATTTATATTGTTTAAAAAGACATGGTGTTAAATAAGTACTTCATATCAATAGTGAAGGAAGTTGGGTAATGCCACGAGGCTGCTATGCCTTGGTAAGTGGAGTTTTCCGGTGTTTTTAACAGCACTTGCGTGCACAGTGAGATCCCGTTCATCCTGAGACTTCGCCACACACTCACATTTTGCAACAGTGATTTATAAATAACCCCGAGAACTCCTGCAACAGAACACACAGAGCTTTAAACAAAAAGTACCTTTGCAGCCCCTGTGGCCCGAACGCTGATGGGACACTTGAGAAAGATCCAGCACACTGAGTTTTCTTCTTCTGGCCTTACAATCACAGGATCCTTGAGGCTGGAAGAGACCTTTAAGATCATCAAGTCAAACCATCAACACAGCACTGCCAAGTCCACCACCAAACCATGTCCCCAAGTGCCACATCCAGTAAAACAGATATCAGAAGTAGCAAACAAGAACTGCCTGGGGGGTTTTTTTGTGTGTTGTGTTTTTCTTTTTTTTTTTTTTTGTTTGTTTTCTTTTTTTTTTTTTTACTATCAGTTTAAAAGACAAAAGCAACTATTCAAGTGAAGCAATGCTTTTGGAGAGACTTTCTGAGCACAGCAACAAGGTGCTGCTTGGTTTTAAATTTTTAAAAACAAAGATACGCTTCAGCCTTGCGATGCAAGGGCATCTCTGCTGTAGGATGTGTCCAAAACACCTGGCTCTGGGTGGTAACAGTCGGGCTGGCTCCCACTACGGTCTGAAAATAGCACCATGAAGAGATTTACCTTGAAAATTCCTTTCCTGTTGCCTGGCCTTACTGTAACTGTACAAACTCACATCCTTCTGGGTGGCATCTGCGTGGACATCCGCACCGCTGCAGGAAAGTCTGCTCTGCCAGCACCTCTCCTTTCCCACACACTGCTGTGGAAAACAGAGCTGTGTTCCCAAGCCAAGGACACGCTTTAAGTACAGCACAGGCTCCAAACATATGAAAACAAACTCCACTCCTTTCAGCCTGCCTAGGAGATAAGCTGACTGGAACAGCATGTTTACCTGAACACTTCCAAGCAAGCCAGACAGGACAGCTCCAGCCTGGAAGCCACACAGTGCTTTTAGCATAACGCTACATACAAATTAAATTCAGTTCACCCAGCAGAACTATCTGCTGCGACACAGCTCAGGGATTGCAGCTGCCTTGCATCTTTCTGTCCTTGTCAGCAATTAAAATCCTTCAAGAAAAGCAGTTTCACACCACGGTGGGAATTTTAGGGAGGGGATATCCTCAACTGTGATCTCAAAGCAGGAGTTTTACAAACAAAAAGTACACACAAGCCATGGCATTCCAGAACTGCCAGTGAAGGAAGGTTTCCACAAACACAGATTATGTATCATCTGTAAGGAGATCCTCCCAATGGAATCATGCCAACACAAGATACTTGCCACTTCCAGGAAGAAATTTAAACCTGGCTGGTGAAGTTCGGCGTGCATTTTGGCTTAATTACAAACTGAGCACAGATTTAGGCCAAGGAGATTTAATTAAGTTGGGTAAAATTAAAGGAAGGGGTGGAGTGCCAAACTCCTGCTTCACATACATCAATTGTAAACTCTGACACAGCCTTGGGTAGGTGAACAAGTGCATGGATGGGTTGCATTCCAGTTTTGGCTGCTCTGTCTGGACTGATGAGGTTACTGTTATAACTGGTGATCCTACATCCAGTAGCAGCACTGCATGAAATGACTTTAGCAGAGCTCAGTTGGTCAGTTCCATTGCTTTTCTTGTCCAAGCACACAGAACCAGGATTAGGGAACAGATCTGCCCAAAATTTCACTGCCATGGGCAGGTTAGTTACTCTATTCCTAGTCTAAAAGATCTTTTAAGGGCTGCTGAAGTACATAATTCTTATGGATTTGTGTCCATAAATTCCCTGCAGGCCCTCCTCATCTTAGGCAAAAGCTTAAGGGCTCTTAATACTCATGAAATGCTTAAGCATGATAACCTATTACTCTCACCTGGCAGCTCCATCTTCTCCAGGAAAACACCTCTCTCATGGCATAACAGGTGCTGGGGCTTCAGCTGCTCCCTCCCACTAGGTTACAAGTTCATGATAAGATGCCAAAATACAAACTGAGGGGTTGGACACAACCTGAGTTGTAAACTGCATTCAAGAGACTGATTTAATCTCTTAAGACTGCTCCTTCCCCCTTTTAGCAACAGCTAATAAACCAAAAACACCACCCAAAATAAATACAACACCCTAAAACAAATGAAAAGGCACTACTGAACCCACATATTCCTTTTATAATCAAACTCTGAGAACATAACAGCAAAAGCCGACTAACAACGATTTTTAAAGTTAAACTCTTTAATTCTTCTCCATAAAGCCAAAGTGCGAAAAATGTAACACATTCCCTTATTTACAATCATCATAGATCACATGGAAGCATGCACATTGGAACAACAAGGTTCTAAATATTACTTCTTAAAAAAAGTGCTGTACAGATGTGTCCCTTGCATACACACACCCTGTGCTCCGTGGTGTGTGACTGAGCCACCCTTGTGCTGGGACAAGTGCCTGAGCATGCCCGGAAATAACATTTTGGGACTGGGAGTAGTTTCCAGGGAAGCAGCTTACTTCCAAATCAGCAGCACAATGGGATTTTAGCCCTTGGGTACTGCCAGCCCCACGGCAAGGCTGTGGCAAAAAAGCAAAACCAAACTCCTGCAGAGAGACAACTCCCAGCTCTAGCATACATTGGTATCCCAGGACACGCTACACAAAATGCCACAAGGACTATAAAGTTCCTGTAACTGGCACATGAATTTTGTATAAACCACTGTAGCCACAGCTCTCACTTCAATCTTCTGAGCACAGTGCCAGAAAAGTAAAACAAAGGAGACCCTATCCCAACACCATCACAACCCTGAGCCCAGACAAGAGCAGCTCCACATCTGCAAATACTGCTGCTGACCCCCAGCTCTTGCAGGAACAGCAGGCACTGAACTCATCCTCTTACACTCTTTAACAGGAGACTGGCTCTTTGGGTCAGGCTGCAAAACATATCAAAGCAAAATCTGGGTATTTAAGCTGTGCTGCTGTTCTAACAGTCACTCATCCCCTTCGAGAAAAGGATCTGATTTTGATAAATGATCTCCTTTTCCTTTCTCTTCTCTCACTTAGCTTAGGCAGATGCTACCTTAATACATCTCAGAGAACAATAAACAGGCCAAAAGGATGATCACCCACTCCAGAAGTTCTGAACAGCTTGTCTTTAACAACTGGAGAAAGGCTGAAATTATCTACATTCTTTTGAAGCAGTTCTTCAGGCTGGATGTGCAATTCTGGTCCAGTAAAGCAAAGGGGCTCCTTGGTTTCAGGGCTGACATTCCTCCGTTTGATTGCATATTGAATCAATTCCCTGGCACAGCATTTAGGAGCAAGATCTCCATATGGAATGGCAGGATCCATCACCTGAAGCAGCCTTTGCAGTGTGATGCACATGTCACCTGCCAATGCAGATACAGCAGAAATGTTCTCAACAAAAGCTTTAAGGAACATCCATTGTCATTGTAGCACAGGCTTCAAGAAATCTGAAGTTATACACTTGAGGCACAGCTTGCAGAAAACAATCTATCCTTATAAAGATCTGCAGAAACCTAAACAAACAAACAAAAAAAAACCAGATAGCATTTTAAAAATATCCTATACATATTCCTGTAGTATTTGTCAAAGAAAAAAGGAAGCACCTGAGCCTACCATTTCCAACCCACCGCAGAATTTTCACCTAACTGTCATTATTAACTCATAAAATACATTTTTCTCTCAATTCTAATTAATGAATTTCTGCCATATCTTAGGTGTCCTACTGACTAAGGTTTTCACCTAGAAAGGAACCACATACATTCATCTTTATGGACATTTAACTGCCACATTTATTTTTCCTGTTTAAGACAGGAATTTTAACAAAAAGGCAGGTGGTGTGGAGTTCTACCACGTAACCCACTGTCTGGTTTTCAAGCAAGATTAACCTTCCACAGATGAAGTTCCTGCCATTTGAGAATTGGAGCTCACCATACCTAAAAGCCACGATTAAAGGCAGTGTCCCTTTAAATATTGATCTTTGCATCCCAGGAAACCAATGTGCTGCTCCACAAAGAAGCTTTTTAATTTACTTTGTATGCTTTACATCCAACACAGATATTTTTTCAATTAGAAAGAGTGATTACAAACCCCCTGAAAATACACACTCCCTAACAGAGCCTTATTTACAACAAAGACCACTGCAATATCAACTATCTAGAAACCAGACTCTGGAGTGTCATGTAGAGAGAAATGCTTCTTTTACCTGAATAATTTCACCTTGTGTTGATTGCACGTTTGCTGAGTGTAAATCTCTTCCTCTTGCAGTGCAGATCCTACATGACAGCACCAGTTTTCCAAGACTTGATCTGCTGATCTCAGACTACATCCCTATTCTTCAAGTCTTTTTTCTGTCACTGGAGAAATTCCTTCTTCAATACTTCTATATACAAAGAGAGACTAGATATTTTCAAATATTGAATTAGCACTTTGGCAAAGTGAATGCATATTAAATCTTACTCACGCTCAAAGAATTTAAATTAAAATCCCAGTAAAATCAACAGAAAAATGCCGTCAGCGTTTTTTTAAAAGCTCTATCTGCCTTTTCCTCCTATTGCTGAAATGCAAAATCTGAGTGTAAAACTGATTTTGTGCCATATTCTTAATGAGTTTTACTGTGCAAAATATTCAAAGATCACTGTTTAACATTTTTATCTTAGTCCACGTTTCCAAGCCTGCACCAAACATAGATCAAACACAGGCTAATTACACAAAAGACTCCCTGCTAATAAAACCTGTTTGACCCAAGATTACCACCCATCCTATTCCTGTACCGCAGGAATCTACAGCCCAAGAGGAAATTTTCATTAAAATTTACTGCTGCAAAACTCGAAGTTGTGACTTCATTACAAAAATATTAAAATATAGAAAAGGTGCTACCGTAATAATTAAAAAAAACTGTCACTTTTCATTTGAGTGATAAAACACATTTTCTGGCTGACAGATAAATATTTCAATTTAGCAAATGTGAATTATTAAATCTTTTCATTCAGGTGCTGCGTTAAAGAGGATGGAACAAAATACTAATACTAATATAATAAAGGAATATAATATATATATATACTAATATAATAAAGGAATTAAAAAAAGATCTGCTTGAAATGAACAGTTTGATTGTGTAGAATGATACTGTGGATAAGCTATTAAAACAGAACAGGTTAAATAAGTAGCCAGCACAAACTCACCTTGGTATTTAAATTTTTTTCCTCATTATTGTATCTTCAGCATTTGCACTGCCCCATCCTCTTTCGGAGTATTCTGACTGATGCCCATCCAAGAAACTGCTACAAAGTTTAAGCCTACAAATAAAAAAAAAAAAAAGACCAAGTAGCTTTATTATGGTAACCTTTTTAACCTTTTTACATTAAATAGGGCTACAACCTATGTATTCTAATACAGACTGTAACACAGTAACAGGACAGAATTTTCCCACACAACAAACAAATATCGGTCAACATATCCCTAAGAAGAATAGGAAAAAAAAAAATCTATCTTTACAATAAAGGCTTGGATTGAAATACAGCATTAATCAACAAAGCTTCTAAATTAATATGCAAAAAAAAACCCCAAACCCTGAATGATGAGCTGCGTTTTATACCTCTCCAGCCTGCAGTCTGTGTCTCTGCAGGTTTTGTTGTCAGGCAGAAAGAAGTTGGATTTCTTCTGTTTCGGATTG